GAACCAGCAGCTATTAAGCCGAAGACGGACCAACGACCTACAAGTGGGCACGGCAGCTCTGCCAAGAACATGCGGCTAAACCCGCTTCTATTCTTCATGCAGTTTGTGCTGCTGCGGCCGAAGTATTTTTCCGGCCCGGTGGTTTCTGCTGATTCGGTGGCTGCTCCGATCTTCGCACCGTCATCATCCAGCGCCGTCCCACATCTACACCTGGTGGTCATCGCAGCCAGTGCACCGACGTCATCAACATCGACGGAACCAGCAGCTATTAAGCCGAAGACGGACCAACGACCTACAAGTGGGCACGGCAGCTCTGCCAAGAACATGCGGCTAAACCCGCTTCTATTCTTCATGCAGATTGTGCTGCTGCGGCCGAAGTATTTTTCCGGCCCGGTGGTTTCTGCTGATTCGGTGGCTGCTCCGATCTTCGCACCGTCATCATCCAGCGCCGTCCCACATCTACACCTGGTGGTCATCGCAGCCAGTGCACCGACGTCATCAACATCGACGGAACCAGCAGCTATTAAGCCGAAGACGGACCAACGACCTACAAGTGGGCACGGCAGCTCTGTCAAGAACATGCGGCTAAACCCGCTTCTATTCTTCATGCAGTTTGTGCTGCTGCGGCCGAAGTATTTTTCCGGCCCGGTGGTTTCTGCTGATTCGGTGGCTGCTCCGATCTTCGCACCGTCATCATCCAGCGCCGTCCCACATCTACACCTGGTGGTCATCGCAGCCAGTGCACCGACGTCATCAACATCGACGGAACCAGCAGCTATTAAGCCGAAGACCGACCAACGACCTACAAGTGGGCACGGCAGCTCTGCCAAGAACATGCGGCTAAACCCGCTTCTATTCTTCATGCAGGTTGGTTGCTCGTACTCCTCGTACAAAAGCGACGAACTTTGTTTAGTTGTGCTGCCGTGCCCCACAACTGTTTTCTCGTGCTTTGTTAATACCGTTGCGCTACTCTTGCAATTAAGCGGTGACATCGAAAGTAATCCAGGTCCTACAGTTGAAGAAATGTCTCAAGTTTTGGAAAACCAGTTCCAAATGGCCAAGGAACTTGCCGCTATAAATGAAAATCAAAAACGAGCGGAAGAAAAATTCACAGAAATTAACCAGAAGTTAGGGAGCTTCGAAGCTAAGCTGTCTGCCCTAGAAGCGACAGTAAAACATTTTTCTGACAATGAAGAACGGATCGTATCAATGGAAAGTGTAATGGCTGATTTGGTAGACAAGATTGACGACCTCGAAAATAGGAGTCGCCGAAATAATCTTGTAATTTTTGGCGTGACTGAGACCGATGACGAGACAGCTGAAACTGAATCACTTCAAGGCACCTTTGTGAATCGATTGTTTTGTGATACGCTTGGTTTACCAGCTGTAACCACAGAAAGAGTGCACCGCCTCGGGCGTCGAACAGATGGTAAAACTAGGCCAGTCGTGGTGAAGTTTTTAAATTTTTCAGAGAAGATGTCAGTTTTAGGAAACTGCCCGAAACTGAAGGGATCGACGACCTTTATTCCAGAAGACTTTTCTTTACGTGTTCGAAATATTCGCAAGCAGCTCTGGGACAGCGCTATCGAAAATCGTAAGAAAGGCGATAAAGTTGCTCTAATATACAACAAGCTAAAACAAATAATACACTCTACATCTGGGACGCCGAAAAACACACACGAATAGCACTGAGCCAGCCGAAACCCTCGCGACAAATATGACAGTCCAGGCGCAAGGCCACTGATTCGATTAGATTCTTAAATTTGAATGCGAGGAGCATATTGATTAAAGTTGTTGATATAGAACACATGTTACTAACGCGCAAACCGCACATCGCAGTCATCACAGAAACCTGGTTACATGAAGAAGTATCTGATTCTGAGGTTATCCCCTCAGACTATAAAGTAGTACGAAAAGACAGACACACGCGTGGTGGGGGCGTAGCCATTATTCTTACAAAAAAATTGCACTATAACCGAATGCCAGATATTGATGGCGTAGAAATTTTATGGATTCGTGTGAACATTTTTTCTACATCCCTTATCATCGGTGTGTTCTATAGACCACCTAGCAGCGGAAATGTTTTCGAAAAAATAAAAGACTATCTTTCAGAGAATGTACACGCGAACTCCAGAGTTATTTTTGCTGGCGATTTTAATCTGCCAGACATTGACTGGGAGAACAGTTGGACTTCGTGCCAGATATTGCAAACACTATTAGAGCTATCTTTTTGTCATAATCTAAATCAAATTTTACGCTCCCCCACAAGACTTTTTGAAGAAAAAGGCTCGATACTGGATTTGATATTTCTTTCCCAGAACTTGCTTGAACGAATACAGTGCATTGAAGTAGTGGAAGGCATTTCAGACCATCAGATGGTATTACTTTCTTTGTCTTTAATGAATGAAACACGCAACACAGAAAGACGTAACGACTACTTAGACTTCTCTAAAGCTGATGACGTTGCTATTATTGACTAGTTAGCCTTCTGTTTTAGCGATTTTCTTAGTGCTTACGAAGTGCCTGAGTACGACGTGAACATTTTCTGGAACTTCTTCGAAAATGCCGTTCTCGACTGCATCAACAAATTCATACCAAAAAGAGTAAAGATTGCCAGCAAAAAAATCCGTGGAGTAATAGGGAGATTATCCAAAAGCGCCGTAAACTCCGTAGACTCCGTAAGCGATCGAAAGATGGAAGCCACGTGAAGCAGTGTGGACCACGAACTTAGGGAAAACATTAACAATGCGAAACATCGCTTCTTTGATGTGACCTTATCTTCTTTTCTCCAGTCTTCGCCTGAGAAGTTTTGGAGGTTTATATTGCCCTCAAAGTCTAAGGTAAACGAGTTGCATATTGATAACGACATTGTGGACGACACTAAGGGCATTGCTGATACTCTCAATAACTACTTCACGTCGGTCTTCAGCCTTGACAACAATCGAGGGTCAATCCTGGCGGCTGTGCCGGGAAACAGTTCACATATTAGAAATGCTTTGCCGAATATAACGATTTCTGAGGAGTGTATAGTGAATTATCTACTGAATGTGGACATTAAAAAAGGCAGCTGGGCCAGACAACATTCCTAATTCCTTTCTCAGAAGATACGCGGAATGGAGCGCCAAGCACGTGGTTTTGATATTCAGAAAATCTCTGGAGACGTCCACGGTACCCTCCAAATGGAAAGTCGCAAAGGTTATCCCAATTTTAGTCTTGTGACTCAAGATCAGTTTCCAATTATAGGCCTATTTCTCTGCCTAGTACGTGCAGTAAGCTGTTGGAGCATGTGGTGTTTAAACACATATCGACATATCTTGAACAAAATAATTTCTTTACTAGTTTTCAACATGGTTTTCGCCAACACGTACCTACCATTACCCAACTGACAGAAGCTGTGCATGAATTTGCATCTGTGATTAACGTAAGGGGGAAAACTGATGTGATTTAGTTAGATTTCTCGAAAGCCTTCGATCGCGTATCGCACGAAAAGTTACTGATAAAGCTGTCACCAATTTTAGATAATCCTGCTATCTTGAAGTGGCTTGAAAGTTACTTATCTCTGAGACAGCAGTTTGTTCAAGCTGACACCGCATGCTCCGGTACCACACACGTAACCTCTGGCGTCCCACAGGGATCGGTCCTGGGGTCTTTGTAGTTTTTAATATTCGTGAATGATATTGTTTCTGGAATTTCAGTAAAGATCCGACTGTTTCCGGATGATTGCGTTATTTTCAGAGAAATCAAAAGTTCTGCGGACTGTGAAGTACTAAACTCCTCGTTGGAAAAACTGTCTAGATGGTGTGGTGACTGTAAAATGTCACTAAATTTATCAAAGACTGTATGTATGTCAATTACTCGAAAAAAGGAGCCTATTACTTTTAATTATTCGATTGGGAACCGTAACCTTCAGAGAGTAAGTTCATGTAAATATCTGAGGTTGACAATAACGTCTGATCGTAAATGGAATGTTCACATCAATCAAACCGCTAGTAAAGCAATGCGGAAGCTTGGTTTCTTGCGTAGGTATATGAGGCAGGCCTCCTGTGATACAAAACTACTACTGTATAAAACTCTTGTTCGGCCAGTGCTGGAATATGCAAGCGTCATTTGGGATCCACATACCTCATCTTGTATTTCAGAACTTGAGCGAATTCAAAAATTAGCAGTGCACTTTGTGTATAACATATACTCCTCATGTGTACATCCATCAAAACTCTGTAATGACGCAGGCCTGGGAATTCTAGAGGAACGAAGGAGAATAAACCGCCTTAAATTTCTTTACCTTATTGCCAATGACGAGCTTGGAATAGAGAAACATAAATATATAACTTTTTTTTACCCCAGGTTTACCAGATATACACATAGCAAAACAATAAAGCCATATAAATATAAGAACGATACATTTAAGTTCTCCTTCTTTCCTCGTACAATCATCGATTGGAACAGCCTACCACCTGACGTTGTAAATGCTACCACATATTCAGGTTTTTGTTTTCTGTTGTCACAGCAAGTGCATCCTGCTTGAAAGTATTTCAATGTACCACTCCTGTTAAGATCTCGCAAAAGATTGACAGTATCAATAAAGAAAGAAAGAGCCGTATGCAAGGCTTAATTTTTGAGAGCTTGAGAAATTTATTTATTTATACATTCATTTATTTATTTCAAGATTCCATTAATTACACGTGGGATTACGCTAGGGAGGGCATATACAAACCTCAGTGTGCACTGAAGGAAAAAAGATAATATGAAGGCATGTTGGGAACATCATTCCTTTTACATATGCTTGTTATACTTTTAGTTTGTGTTATGTCTGCGGTGCAAGGAGTGGCCAGACGAAGGAAGGACTGCGAAACAGCTTTATTTCCGCAGAGGCCGGCAGCGATCTGGCTGCGCGTATGACGGTGCTCTTCTTATAGAGCGCCCGGTGACGTCAGTACTACGCGTACTGCTGATAGCAACGGCAGCGGCCTCTAGCACTTCCTCCACCGCAATTTGGAACGTCATGAGGCTTCATAGCGATCGGGGGGTCTTCTCTGGCGTTGTGGGTATCGCCGAGGCGCAGCGTTAGTGGGGGTGACGGGCACCGTTTGTCTTGCGGAGACAGTAGACGGAGGTGGTACGTCGGCTTCAGACGCAGGATAGATGGTGTCGGTATCGTCCTCCCCCACAAGGGACGGCGCTGTCACCGCAGTAGACGCTGAGCGCAGGTGGTCCTTGTGTCGCCTCCAAGAACGGAGTCCATCCGGTGTCCGCACCTTGACCACGTAGGACACTGGTCCCGTCCGCTGCAGTACTGTTGCGTGGAACCATGTGGGGCCGCTCCTGAAATTACGCACGAACACTTCATCGTTCACTTCGAACACACTGTTAGCACCCCTGCGCCGTGAAGTCTGTTCAAACTGACGTGCTCGGATAGTACGATCCAGAGCCGGCTTCAGTGCATCCAACCGTGTTCGTGGCCGACGACCCAAAAAAAGAAAAGATGGGGTTTCTTGAGTCGTCGCATGCGGAGTGTTGCGATATGTCAGTAAGAACCTTGACAAGGTTTCCTCCATACTTTCAGTTGCAGGGCCTTTTCGTAGTGCGTTCTTTAGGGTTTGCACAAATCTCTCTGCGAGTCCATTGCTGCTGGGGTGATATGCAGAAGTGAGAACCTGTCGAACTGCCTGTTCTTTAAGGAACTCTTTAAACTCGGACGATGTAAACTGCGCACCGTTATCACTAACCAGAGCTTCTGGTGCCCCATACCGAGCGAATAAATCGCGCAGTTTTGTTATCGTCGCTTCTGCGGTGGTAGACGTCATGACAAAAACCTCCGGCCATTTAGAATGCGCGTCTACAATGACTAGTAGCATACGACCGCGAAGAGGGCCCGTAAAATCTACACGTACCCGTGACCACGGTTGTGTCGGCCATGACCAAGGGTGCAATGGTGCCTTTTCTGGCATGTGGCGCTGCTGTTGGCATGCCGTGCAGTGTCTCACTTGGTTCTCCAAGTCCGTTTCCAAGGAGGGCCACCATACGTAGCTTCGGGCGAGTGCTTTGCTCCGCACTATTCCTGGGTGTCCCTGGTGTAGCTCCTCCAGGACCAGCTGTTGAAGTTTCGGGGGCACGACGACTCTCATTCCATGCATCAGGCACCGCTCGTGGACTGTGAGTTCCCTGCGTCGTGCCATCTTTCATGACGTGCGACAGCACAGCGCCGAGACCATACGCAGACGCATCGCAGGATAGCTGCAGCGGGCGTGCCGGGTCGTAGTGTGCCAGCACCTCCGTCGAAGACAAGATTTCCTTGATGGCTTGGAAGGCATCTTGACATTTCCGATTCCAGCACCAGGGAGCATCCTTCTGTAGTAACCTGTAGAAAGGCTTTGCCAGCGTTGCTAGCCGTGGCGTGAATTTTCCATAGTAATTTATCAGTCCAAGCAGTGAACGCAACTGTGCGATGTTAGTAGGCGCTGGGGCATGCAGCAACGCTTGAACTTTTTCCTCGCTTGGCTTGACGCCGGTCTCGCTGATAATGTGCCCCAGATACTGCAGGCTTTCTTTGAAAAATTCACATTTTTCACGCTTGACGCGAACACCTTTCTGCTGAAGTGTACAAAACACGGCTTCAAGGTTCCTGAGGTGTTCTTCAGCGGTTGCTCCCGTGACGAGAATATCGTCAAGGTAGCATATGACACCCGGTAGTCCTTTAAGTATGTTGTCCATAATGCGCTGGAACAACGCGGGCGCAGACGCTACTCCGAAAGGGAGTCTGTTCACCGCAAAAAGCTCTTTGTGCGTGTTTAGTGTGAGAAGTTTTTTTGAGTCCTCCGACATCTCTACCTGCTGGTATGCCCTGCTAAGATCTAACTTGGAAAAGTATTTGCCTCCGGCGAGCGCAGCTAGTATTTCCTCAAGTTTGGGCAGGGGGTACTGCTCCGTGTCTAGGACAGGGTTCAACGTTGTTTTGTAATCCCCGCACACACGTATGGTGCCGTCCTTTTTAACTACCGGTACAATAGGCGTAGCAAACTCACTGGTTGACACTTGCGTAATGACGCCCATTTGTTCAAGCTTCTGTAACTCTTCCTCTACGGCCGACCGGAGTGCGTAAGGCACGTTTCTCGCTTTGAGGAACTTCGGACGTTGCTCTTTCAAAAATAAAGTGGCTCGCTCACCTTCTATCTTGCCAAGGGTGCCGTCGAAGATGCGGCTGTACTTGGCTTGAAGTTCTTTTAGGCGTGCCTCGTACTTCTTGCTTGCATCAGACCGATGAGGGTCCGACAGCTTGTGTACGCCGCAGATGTTGTCCCAGTCCAGACAAAGACGTGTGAGCCACTCGCGGCCCAAAAGAGGCGGGCCATTGTGGTCAACTACGTAGAGGGGTAGAACGTCCTCTTGACCCTTGTATCTTACGGACGCTTTGACGAAACCGCAGGGTTGCACGACTTCCCCGGTGTAAGTCTTGAGGCGTAGCTCGGTGGGTTCAAGCTTCAAAGGAGGCTGAAATTTCTTGAACTGCTGCTTCGGTATTATGGACACCGTGGCTCCCGTGTCCAATTCCATGCTCAAGGAAGTTCCTTGAACTTCCACGTCGACGGTGATGGGTCGCCGGCTTTGCGGTGACAGCATCTTGACGTTGAATGTGTCGTCGCTTTGAAGAGTCCGGACCCACTTCTTTCCGCCAACAGTCTTCTTCTTGGCACTCCGACATGCACGCTGAACGTGACCCTTCTTGCCGCAATTCATGCACTTATCTGCAATGTGCGGACACGCCCGGGCGAAATGCTTATCAGAGCCACAGCGATAACACTCGAACGACTGTTTCCTTTTCGCGGAATCTTCGGTACTCATCTTGTGCAAGTCATCGCTCCTTTCTTTTGCGTGCGCCTCCTGAACATTTTTTTTAGCTTCTTCTAACGCGAGTGCGCGTTCAACGGCTTTTTGAAATGTCAACGTTTTATCCTCTGCAAACAAATACCGCCGTATGTCCGCACGGAACAAACCGCACACGAACCGATTTCTCAGCGACTCATCTAGGAAACCGCCAAATTCACAGGTTTGAGAGAGCTTCCTGAGCTCCGCTACATATTGCGCGATACTCTCGTGTTCCAACTGACTACGGCGATGGAATTTCGCTCGTTTTCCAATCGCTGATACTCTCGGTGACAGCTTGTTTCGCAGCAATTGGGTTAGTTGCTCTAGCGTGTTTTCTGACGGTTTGGCAGGTGCCGTCAAAGACTTCAAGAGACTGTACGTTTTAGGCCCAATAACGCTTAAAAAAGCATGCACCTTGAGGTCGTCAGGTATTTTGTTGATCAGAAAAAAGGACGTCAACCTTTCTTCATAAGACTGCCAGTCACTCACAGTTTCATCGAAGGCTTCTACTTGGCCGATATGACTGGAGGATGCCATCTTGAGAAACTTGCTGTCGCCGAGTACCCAGCGGCGTGCGGTGATGTTTCGCTGTCTGTTTGGACGCAGCTTCAAGGCTTCTCACCTTCGTCTTGGCTTTGTTGCCCCCATCTTCGCCGCCAGTTGTTATGTCTGCGGTGCAAGGAGTGGCCAGACGAAGGAAGGACTGCGAAACAGCTTTATTTCCGCAGAGGCCGGCAGTGATCTGGCTGCGCGTATGACGGTGCTCTTCTTATAGAGCGCCCGGTGACGTCAGTACTACGCGTACTGCTGATAGCAACGGCAGCGGCCTCTAGCAGTTTGTTTAAAATATTGTTACGGTTTTAATTTGTGAAGTCAAGCCCATAGAAGTGAAGCCCATGGTGCCTAGAACGGATCGAATTGTGCCATTCTTTTTTTTTTTTCACGCGCGTTGTCGTCTTCTTTGGGTCCTGGGACGCGCCACAGGCGTGTCGCCACATTACCCACTCGCCAGGTGATTTCAGGCATGCATCATTTTCTAGGAGCATCCATACTCCTCCGCGACCACCTGGCATTGTTTTAAGGTTCGGCAATTTTTCTTCGTGTTCTGTTACCCACGTTCACTTGTGCACAACCACAAAATTCGCATCAACATCACAGTTCTTCACAACACCAACTTCCAGCACATAAGCGCTATCGGTAGATAGGTGCGCCGTCTTGTTACGTGACTGTCAAAACAAATCTTGCTTTCTTTGGCACTGATGACGTATCCAAACAAAAATCGCACGCACTACTCCAAAAAATAAAATGCCCGCCAATGACGAAAACCGGCAGATACTGTCAACAGTTTGTGTAGATTGACACTCATGATGCCAACCGTTGAATGGCCCAGATGACGGCCCAAAAAGCGTTCGAGTCCAGCCCGCACCTACGTGTCGGCAAAAAAAAAAAAAAAAAAAGAGCCGTGTTAAACGCGGGGGTGCGAGAGAGAGAGGGGGAAAGGCAGGCAGAGGAGATGCCAGTGGCATCTCCATAGAGTCCCATGGGATGCATCCGGAAAATCGGCAAGAAGAGGGCGAGAGAGAAAAGTGGGGGAAGATAAAGATAGTGGCGACGAGCAATCGACAAGCGTTAGTTCCGGGTGCACGTATTTTCTCAGTCGTTCCCAAAATATTTCACTGCATTCTATGTTGGCCCACAGAGAACAGGTATGGGTATAACCCGGTCCAGCTTGCTCTCAGCTTTTTCCGAAAGTCTAGCACCGGCCGTCACGTCTATGGGGTCTACGAGGCATGCTGCTTTTCGCCGAGATTTTTTTCAAGTCTGCATACAGTGGAAGTGCTGCGATTGGATTTCTCTATAATGCCGTCCAGACTGAGTCGCTCAAGTCGCCCCTATGAAGCAGTCAGTGATCGTCAAAAACGCCGTCGTGTTCAGTCACAGCTCGCGGACCGTTTTCAAGGCCATAACGCTTCACGCGTTGAAATGCATTACTGCTCGGATCAAGGTGCCTGTGAGGATATGAATGACGCCCCCCAGGAAAGAAGTGGCAGTGCAGATAACGGCGCGTCAAGTTCAGTCTCCGATCAAGGCCCTTCAGACGCCTCCGACGACCTCAGTCAAGAACGCCCAGCGGACGGGATCCCACTTCTGAAACCATTCCCGTGCACGCAGCGAGAGTACCAGCTATGTGCGATGGGGTGGGTAAAGCACGCGCGTCAGCAGATTAATCACAAACAGAACAAGGTAAGCGGTGGAACATTCCGCGCAGTATGACATCGTCTCTTGTTTACTTATTTACGTGACTTTGTTTGTTTCATATACTTCAGGCTGGCACATCCAGGGACCTCTTTTGGCGGCGCTCCGTATTGCATCTCGTGTCTGAAAATGCTAAAATAAACAGTTCGCACTAAGCCCATGTTTTAGTTACTTCCTTCGTACTTGCATGAGAGCAACTTGCCTTCGCAATAATACTCAAAAGGTACTTTTCTTTTTAATTAGAGGGAGGCGGAAAGAGGGGTTAAACACAACGTCTTCCACACGACGCCTAGGGAACGTAATTTGGAGTGGCTTCTCGACGTTCTATGAACGTCGTCGGTAGTTCGGATACACACGTATCATAAACGTCGAGGGAGGACGCAACGGCCCACTGAGACGTGCATGTGACGTGTGACAAACGTCATTAGAAACGTTTTTTCAACCTTCTGGGCACGTTTTCTCGCGGACATTTAAAGGTTGCATCGACGTCGAAGGAGGGTAACGTTCGGACCTTCGACGTTGTACGACGTCACGTTACAGACGTCTTCGACGTCTTTTCGACATTTTCTTCACGTTTATGTGCTTTCACTTTCACAGGAAGTTCGTTCTTAAGTTCTTCCTACCAGCTTCGATCACCTCTGTATTTTGCTGAAACGTCCGAATGGGTGCAAATTGACAATCCAGAATTATTAACGAAAATAATCCCTGGAGAAGGGGAACAAGAGGGACAAAGGACAAACATAAATC